ACGGGAGGTACCCGCACAAGGGGACGCAGGTGAAAACTGAGTACCCAAATGAGCCACAGAGACAGAAAGAATTTTATCAGTGTCAGAGTAGTTAACAAATGGAATTCAATATTAAGTGATATGGTAGAGGCTGACTCCATAAACAGTCAGCTTCAAATGTAACATAAAGAGTTTCAAATGTAGATATGATAGAGCCCAATAGACTCAGAAACTTATACACCAGTAGATTGGATATTTAAGAGGCGGGACCAAAGAGCCAAAGTACAACCCAGTAATAGTAACGAATAGGTAAGAACGCACACCCATTTACAGGATGCAGTCTACGGCAGCTGTTTAACTCCCGGGTACCTGTTTACTGCTAGGTGGACAGAGGCATCAGCTGAAAGAAAGTCCACCCATTTAATTGTGTCTCGACTTGGAATCGAAACCGGGTTCAGGGAGTGTGACTCGTGTGTGTGCTTGTGTTGCGTGTGTGTGCTTGTGTAGCGTGTGTGTGCTTGTGTTGCGTGTGTGTGCTTGTGTTACGTGTGTGTATACTTATTTTGCGTGTGTGTGCTTGTGTTGCGTGTGTGTGTACTTGTGTTGCGTGTGTGTGTACTTGTGTTGCGTGTGTGTGTACTTGTGTTGCGTGTGTGTGTGCTTGTGTTGCGTGTATGTGTGCATGTGTTGCGTGTGTGTGTGCTTGTGTTGCGTGTGTGTACTTGTGTTGCGTGTGTGTGTACTTGTGTTGCGTGTGTGTGTGTACTTGTGTTGCGTGTGTGTGTGCTTGTGTTGCGTGTGTGTGTGCATGTGTTGCGTGTGTGTGTGCATGTGTTGCGTGTGTGTGTGCTTGTGTTGCTTGTGTGTGTACTTGTGTTGCGTGTGTGTGTGCATGTGTTGTGTGTGTGTGTGCATGTGTTGCGTGTGTGTGTGTGTGCTTGTGTTGTGTGTGTGTGTGCATGTGTTGCGTGTGTGTGTGTGTGTGTGCTTGTGTGTGTGTGTGTACTCACCTAGTTGTGTCTGCAGGATCGAGCATTGACTCTTGGATCCCGCCTTTCGAGCATCGGTTGTTTACAGCAATGACTCCTTTCCCATTTCCCTATCATACCTGGTTTTAAAATTATGAATAGTATTTGCTTCCACAACCTGTTCCTGAAGTGCATTCCATTTTCCCACTACTCTCACGCTAAAAGAAAACTTCCTAACATCTCTGTGACTCATCTGAGTTTCAAGCTTCCATCCATGTCCCCTCGTTCTGTTACTATTCCGTGTGAACATTTCGTCTATGTCCACTCTGTCAATCCCTCTGAGTATCTTATACGTTCCTATCATGTCCCCCCTCTCCCTTCTTCTTTCTAGTGTCGTAAGGCACAGTTCCCTCAGGCGCTCCTCATACCCCATCCCTCGTAGCTCTGGGACGAGTCTCGTTGCAAACCTCTGAACCTTTTCCAGTTTCATTATATGCTTCTTCAGATGGGGACTCCATGATGAGGCGGCATACTCTAAGACTGGCCTCACGTAGGCAGTGTAAAGCGCCCTAAATGCCTCCTTACTTAGGTTTCTGAATGATGTTCTAACTTTTGCCAGTGTAGAGTACGCTGCTGTCGTTATCCTATTAATATGTGCCTCAGGAGATAGATTAGGTGTTACGTCCACCCCCAGGTCTCTTTCGCGCGTCGTCACAGGTAGGCTGTTCCCCTTCATTGTGTACTGTCCCGTTGGTCTCCTATCTCCTAGTCCCATTTCCATAACTTTACATTTGCTCGTGTTGAATTCCAGTAGCCATTTCTCTGACCATCTCTGCAACCTGTTCAGGTCCTCTTGGAGGATCCTGCAATCCTCATCTGTCACAACTCTTCTCATCAACTTTGCGTCATCCGCAAACATCGACATGTAGGACTCTACGCCTGTAAACATGTCGTTAACATATACAAGAAATAGAATTGGTCCCAGCACCGATCCTTGTGGTACTCCACTTGTTACTGTTCGCCAGTCCGACTTCTCGCCCCTTACCGTAACTCTTTGGCTCCTTCCTGTTAGGTAGTTCCTTATCCATGCAAGGACCTTTCCCCCCACCCCCGCCTGCCTCTCGAGCTTGAACAGCAGCCTCATGTGCGGTACTGTACCAAAGGCTTTTTGGCAGTCCAGAAATATGCAGTCTGCCCAACCATCTCTGTCCTGTCTTATCCTCGTTATTTTATCATAGAATTCCAGAAGGTTTGTTAGGCACGATTTCCCTGTCCAGAACCAATGTTGATGTTTATTCACAAACCTAATGTTCTCCAGGTGTGCAACCAGTCGGAGCCTAATTATTCTTTCCAGTATTTTACAGTATGTGTGTGTGTGTGTGTGTGTGTGTGTGTGTGTGTGTGTGTGTGTGTGTGTGTGTTGCGTGTGTGTGTGCTTGTGTTGTGTGTGCTTGTGTTGCGTGTGTGTGTGTGCTTGTGTTGCGTGTGTGTGTGCTTGTGTTGCGAGTGTGTGTGCTTGTGTTGTGTGTGTATGCTTGTGTTGTGTGTGTGTGCTTGTGTTGCGTGTGTGTGTGCTTGTGTTGCGTGTGTGTGTGCTTGTGTTACGTGTGTGTGTGCTTGTGTTGTGTGTGTATGCTTGTGTTGTGTGTGTGCTTGTGTTGCGTGTGTGTGTGCTTGAGTTGCGTGTGTGTGTGTTTGTGTTGCGTGTGAGTGGTTGTGTTGTGTGTGCTTGTGTTGCGTGTGTGTGTGTGTGCTTGTGTTGCGTGTGTGTGTGTGCTTATGTTGCGTGTGTGTGTGGTTGTGTTGTGTGTGTGTGTGCTTGTGTTGCGTGTGTGTGTGCTTATGTTGCGTGTGTGTGTGGTTGTGTTGTGTGTGTGTGTGGTTGTGTTGTGTGTGTGTGTGCTTGTGTTGCGTGTGTGTGTGTGCTTATGTTGCGTGTGTGTGTGTGCTTGTGTTGTGTGTGTGTGTGTGTGTGTGTGTGTGTGTGTGTGTGTTTGTGTTGTGTGTGTGTGCTTGTGTTGCGTGTGTGTGTGCTTGTGTTGTGTGTGTGTGTGCTTGTGTTGTGTGTGTGTGCTTGTGTTGTGTGTGTGTGTGCTTGTGTTGCGTGTGTGTGTGCTTGTGTTGTGTGTGTGTGTGCTTGTGTTGCGTGTGTGTGTGCTTGTGTTTGTGTGTGTGCTTGTGTTGTGTGTGTGTGTGCTTGTGTTGTGTGTGTGTGTGCTTGTGTTGCGTGTGTGTGCTTGTGTTGTGTGTGTGTGTGCTTGTGTTGCGTGTGTGTGCTTGTGTTGTGTGTGTGTGTGCTTGTGTTGTGTGTGTGTGTTGTGTGTGTGTGCTTGTGTTGTGTGTGTGTGTGCTTGTGTTGCGTGTGTGTGCTTGTGTTGTGTGTGTGTGTGTGCTTGTGTTGCGTGTGTGTGCTTGTGTTGTGTGTGTGTGTGCTTGTGTTGTGTGTGTGTGTTGTGTGTGTGTGCTTGTGTTGTGTGTGTGTGTGCTTGTGTTGCGTGTGTGTGCTTGTGTTGTGTGTGCTTGTGTTGTGTGTGTGTGTGCTTGTGTTGTGTGGTGTGTGTGCTTGTGTTGTGTGTGTGTGCTTGTGTTGTGTGTGTGTGTGCTTGTGTTGTGTGTGTGTGTGCTTGTGTTGTGTGTGTGTGCTTGTGTTGTGTGTGTGTGTGTGTGCTTGTGTTGCGTGTGTGTGCTTGTGTTGTGTGTGTGTGTGCTTGTGTTGTGTGTGTGTGCTTGTGTTGTGTGTGTGTGCTTGTGGTGTGTGTGTGTGTGCTTGTGTTGTGTGTGTGTGTTGTGTGTGTGTGCTTGTGTTGTGTGTGTGTGTGCTTGTGTTGCGTGTGTGTGCTTGTGTTGTGTGTGTGTGTGCTTGTGTTGCGTGTGTGTGCTTGTGTTGTGTGTGTGTGTGCTTGTGTTGTGTGTGTGTGCTTGTGTTGTGTGTGTGTGCTTGTGGTGTGTGTGTGTGTGCTTGTGTTGCGTGTGTGTGCTTGTGTTGTGTGTGCTTGTGTTGTGTGTGTGTGTGCTTGTGTTGTGTGTGTGTGTGCTTGTGTTGTGTGTGTGTGCTTGTGTTGCGTGTGTGTGTGCTTGTGTTGTGTGTGTGTGTGCTTGTGTTGTGTGTGTGTGCTTGTGTTGTGTGTGTGTGTGCTTGTGTTGCGTGTGTGTGTGTGCTTGTGTTGTGTGTGTGTGTGCTTGTGTTGCGTGTGTGTGTGCTTGTGTTGTGTGTGTGTGCTTGTGTTGTGTGTGTGTGTGCTTGTGTTGTGTGTGTGTGCTTGTGTTGCGTGTGTGTGCTTGTGTTGTGTGTGTGTGTGCTTGTGTTGCGTGTGTGTGCTTGTGTTGTGTGTGTGTGTGCTTGTGTTGTGTGTGTGTGTTGTGTGTGTGTGCTTGTGTTGTGTGTGTGTGTGCTTGTGTTGCGTGTGTGTGCTTGTGTTGTGTGTGTGTGTGCTTGTGTTGCGTGTGTGTGCTTGTGTTGTGTGTGTGTGTGCTTGTGTTGTGTGTGTGTGTGCTTGTGTTGCGTGTGTGTGCTTGTGTTGTGTGTGTGTGTGCTTGTGTTGCGTGTGTGTGCTTGTGTTGTGTGTGTGTGTGCTTGTGTTGTGTGTGTGTGTGTGTCTGTTTGTGGCTTGTGTTGTGTGTTTGTGGCTTGTGTTGTGTGTTTGTTGCTTGTGTTGTGTGTTTGTGGCTTGTGTTGTGTGTTTGTGTGCTTGTGTTGTGTGTGTGTGTGCTTGTGTTGTGTGTGTGTGCTTGTGTTGTGTGTGTGTGTGCTTGTGTTGTGTGTGTGTGTGCTTGTGTTGTGTGTGTGTGTGTGCTCACACATACAGTAGCTCTGGTAACAATAGACCAACATAAGTCATATAGTCTGGCAGTAAGCAGTATAGCAGTATTCCTCACATAGCTTTGCTGAATTCCGAATAATATATTTTCAAATAATTCCTTCATATGCGTCGAACTTCAGATGATTCAAATATATTACAATACTCGTTGGTATATATAATGACACACAAATATAAAATATGACAAAACCTGTCAAATAAAGGTATAGGTTTAATTAATTTTAGAGCGCTGGGGATTTTATATGGGTGGAGCATGTCTCGTGTGCCTCTACACGGGGGCGCTCTACAGTAGTGAGGGAACCATAAGCGCAGCAGCAGCCGCAGGGCGACTCATGTGGGAGAATTTCCGGCAAGTCTTCCTGAAAAGATTGCACGGCGTTGTCCCACCTTGCGAGGTGTGACGCTGCCATACTCCACCATCACAAGGTCACTACTCCCCCGCCTCCCAGCCTAGTCTTCCTCCAGCAGCGCCTCCAGCAGCGCCTCCACCAGTGCCTGCACCACCCTCACTCCTGCACCACCTGCCGGTATATCTCGCATCACCCCACGAACTGAGCCGGGCCAAGTCAGACTGGTGGGATGGTACGAAATAGTAAATAGAGGCCGGAAACGAGGTGATCGGTGTGATACAACGCTGACGGAGACTATGAGGAAGGTTGTGGAAGTAACGTTGGTGTTGACAGCTGGAGTGTTGCCCACACTGGTGGCGGTGGCACTGGTCCACCTGCTGGGGATATCAGGCATCGCCTGTGTGGGCATCTTACTCATCACCGGGGTGATGCTGACAGCCGTCATCAGGTCCTCCAGGAGGTGTCAGCCGCCGCCCGACTCATCAGATCAACACCAGGTAAGTGTGTGTTGGTCACTCTCTACAACACTCTAGTATTGTAGTTCATCACCACCCATCATGAACATACACCCACACATCTTCATACATTATAACGTGTGTGTGTGCCTCTGTGGCCCAAATACGGGCCAGATGTCTGGGGGTAGTTAACGTCTGGGCCTCATGGCATGGGCATGATACCCACCGTGACCAGCAGGAGCAGTACCAGGTCTGCTACCAACTATACAATGGGGTTATGGGGGGTTATTACTCAAAGGATGGGTATGTGGTCAACTCCCTGACGCAGGATGGGTATCTGGGGTCCACTGCCACCTCTATGATGGGTAAATAGTCCACTACTACTCACAGGCTGGGTATGGTCCATTATCACTCACAGGATGGGTATGGGGTCCACTACCACTCATAGGATGGGTATGGTCCATTATCACTCACAGGATGGGTATGGGGTCCACTACCACTCATAGGATGGGTATGGTCCATTATCACTCACAGGATGGGTATGGGGTCCACTACCACTCATAGGATGGGTATGGTCCATAACCACTCACAGGATGGGTATGGGGTCCACTACCACTCACAGGATGGGTATGTGGTGCACACCAATTCAGAAGAAAAATCAAAGTGAAAAAAATTCTTATGTAACGCAAGTTAAATTCCTTTTGAAAACGTATTTCTAAAACCATAGAATTTGGAGAAGACTTTAACAAAGTTGGCCACATCTATCTACCCTTCACACGCAACTCATCACCTCATACATGGTACATTTAACATAATGTTTCATACGAAAGTAAATTGTTTTGAAATCTAACGCAGACACACTTTACCTGTCCCCGACAGGTTGAAGAGGACCGTCCGCCATCGTACGAGGCCGTCACGTCCAAGCCTCCCCCATACTGTCTACTGTACTCCAGTCCCCTGTCCCAGGGTGTCCCGGCCGGCACCGCTGGCTACGTCCCCGTCCACCTGGTGGTCCAGCACCGTCTGGCTGACAGGAGCGGGGTGCAGTGTTGCTCCTGCCCCGTCACGGACAGTGAGGACAGACTGCCCTCCTTCCTCGAGGCTGTCAGTCTGGGGTGTAGTCAGGCCTTAGATGACGGTTTCCTTCAGCTCGACGGTACGATGACAGCGCCTGCCAGTGGCACCACGGCCACCAGTTCGACTCCCAGTGGGACCACGACCACCAGTTCGACTCCTGGTGGGACCACACCCACCAGTTCGACTCCCAGTATGACCACGCCCACCAGTTCGACTCCTGGTGGGACCAAACCCACCAGTTCGACTCCCAGTATGACCACGCCCACCAGTTCGACTCCCAGTGGGACCACGCCCACCAGTTCGACTCCCAGTGGGACCACGCCCACCAGTTCGACTCCCAGTGGGACCACGCCCACCAGTTCGACTCCCAGTATGACCACGCCCACCAGTTCGACTCCTAGTGGGACCACGCCCACCAGTTCGACTCCCAGTATGACCACGCCCACCAGTTCGACTCCCAGAGGGACCACGCCCACCAGTTCGACTCCCAGTGGGACCACGCCCACCAGTTCGACTCCCAGTGGGACCACACCCACCAGTTCGACTCCCAGTAGGACCACGCCCACCAGTTCGACTCCCAGTGGGACCACGCCCACCAGTTCGACTCCCAGTGGGACCACGCCCACCAGTTCGACTCCTGGTGGGACCACACCCACCAGTTCGACTCCCAGAGGGACCACGCCCACCAGTTCGACTCCCAGTGGGACCACACCCACCAGTTCGACTCCCAGTGGGACCACACCCACCAGTTCGACTCCCAGTGGGACCACAGCCACCAGTTCGACTCCCAGTGGGACCACAGCCACCAGTTCGATTCCCAGTGGGACCACACCCATCGGTTCGACTCCCAGTGGGACCACAGCCACCATTTCGATTCCCAGTGGGACCACAGCCACCAGTTCGACTCCCAGTGGGACCACAGCCACCAGTTCGACTCCCAGTGGGACCACACCCACCAGTTCGACTCCCAGTGGGACCACGCCCCCTACCCGCCCTCCTAGAGGTCTACGACTATTCAACACCTACACCCCAAGTGTACTAGTTCCACTGCGCTTCTAGTTCTCAAGCACTACAACGTGTCCCCCACCACGCCCTCAAGCGCCACAAGCAGCCCTCAAACAATCGCTGGAGCGCTACAAGTAGTGGAGCAGCACCTTGAGGCGCCACCACCCACCCCCGCTGAAGGGCACCGAAGCATCACGGTCTGGCGAGGGAGAGAGACGGGATATATCACCGGAAAGTGTTCCTTCCGCTCTCGTGTTGGCAGTGGACAGGCTGCCTTGGCCTCCAGGATATGACTGGTGGCTTGCGTGTGTGTGTGTGTGTGCGTGTGTGTGTGTGTGTGTGTGTGTGTGTGTGTGTTATAGTGACTGCCCACTCACAATAACGTGTCTGACTCTTTGGACGCGGAGCATTCATTGTTATGATGACAGTGTCTTTGAAAACCACCATCACCATCATCATCATACGCTCCACCATCATCATTACACTCCACCATTATCATCATCATTCTCAGCCATCATCATACGCTCCACCATCACCAACAAATAGAATAAAAACTTTTTTCTTTCTATAATCTTTTTCTCCTTATGAGTTCTCTATAATTTTAATATGTATTTATTCTTCAGATTGTTATAAATTATACGTCTCTAAGCACAAGGTCTAACTGAAATACTTTTTTAATAAAGAAAAAGAAAATTATTATCTAATTTTATTTACACGCGCATTATATATATATATATATATATATATATATATATATATATATATATATATATATATATATATATTATATAACGGCTTCAACAACGGCTTCTCCAATGGTTTCGTGGAAGACATCATAAGAAGGAAAGTGAAACGCCATGCAACCTCTGAAGAGACAACTAACACAACACCTATACCCCCTATTAGACTATTTTACATGAACTTCTTTTCCACAGCTCATAAAACGGAGGAAAGGGTCCTGAAAGATATTGTCAGTAGAAACGTTATCCCTACAGACAAAAATCAGAAGATACAACTGACGATTTACTATAAAACCAGAAAAACGGCCAGCCTACTCATGAGAAACTCTCCAGACACAAAGCAGAACGCTTTAAAAGAGACTAACGTCGTCTATGCCTTCGAATGCCCTCTTGGGGACTGTAAGCTCCAAAAAAAACAGTATATAGGCAAGACAACAACATCTCTTTCCAGGCGTTTAACGATGCATAAGCAACAGGGCTCCATTAAGGAACATATAATCTCTTCCCACAACCAAACCATCACCAGAGAAATCTTAGCAAACAACACAGAAATCATCGATAGATTTTTTTTTTTTTTTTTTTTTTTTTTTTTTTTTTTTTTTTTGAGATATATACAAGAGTTGTTACATTCTTGTAGAGCCACTAGTACGCGTAGCGTTTCGGGCAGGTCCTTAATCCTATGGTCCCTGGAATACGATCCCCTGTCGCAAAGAATCGTTTTTTCATCCAAGTACACATTTTACTGTTGCGTTAAACAGAGGCTACAGTTAAGGAATTGTGCCCAGTAAATCCTCCCCGGCCAGGATACGAACCCATGACATAGCGCTCGCGGAACGCCAGGCGAGTGTCTTACCACTACACCACGGAGACTGCAAAGCAGTCTCCGTGCTTTGATAGCGATAGCAGGCGGCTAGACGTCTGCGAGGCACTACACATCAAGAAGTCAACACCAGCAATCAACAGCCAATTAATGCACAACTATATTCTACCCACTTCAAGACTCCGCTCCAATATAGAAGCATCAAGAAATATGGACCAATAGGCTTTCTACAATTATTTCCATTCAATACCCATTGTTTCGTGGTCTGTCATGTGTTTGAAATTAATACCCATTCAATACCCATTGTTTCGTGTTCTGTCTTGTGTTGGAATTTAATACCCATTGTTGAAAGTTCGTTTTTCACCTCATCCACCTCACCCAAATGTAGATATAAACCTCGAAGATATGTAAGCTCTATTCAGTTTCAGTTGTGTGTTTGTAAACTAAAGTCTTTGAAATTGTAATAAGTTTTACGAAACGCGCTCAAGTGTCGCGTCAGACTAGAAATAAAAATGAATTTTGGAGAATTGATCTTTGAATTACCATCAACAGTAAAAAGAAACATAAGAAAGATAGAAAAAATTCGTGTTAGAATTATTAATCTTACTTTTACGGTCATATTTAATAATATATATATATATATATATATATATATATATATATATATATATATATATATATATATATATATATATATATGTGTGTGTGTATATCACGAAAATAAACACGTGATTAAGAATGTGACAATGTCAGACCACGGAGGAAAAATGAAACAGGAAATTTCCTTAAGTACTTTCGTATATTAAATACACCTTCTGAAGATGTATTTAATATACGAAAGTACTTAAGGAAATTTCCTGTTTCATTTTTCCTCCGTGGTCTGACATTGTCATATATATATATATATATATATATATATATATATATATATATATATATATATATATATATATATATATATATATATATGTCGTACGTAGTAGCCAGAACGCACTTCTCAGCCTACTATGCAAGGCCCGATTTGCCTAATAAGCCAAGTTTTCATGAATTAATATATTTTCTCTAATTTTTTTCTTATGAAATGATAAAGCTACCCATTTCATTATGTATGAGGTCAATTTTTTTTTATTGGAGTTAAAATTAACGTAGATATATGACCAAACCTAACCAACCCTACCTAACCTAACCTATCTTAATAGGTTAGGTTAGGTTAGGTGGCAGAAAAAGTTAGGTTAGGTTAGGTTAGGTAGGTTAGGTAGTCGAAAAACAATTAATTCATGAAAACTTGGCTTATTAGGCAAATCGGGCCTTGCATAGTAGGCTGAGAAGTGCGTTCTGGCTACTAGGTACGACATATATATATATATATATATATATATATATATATATATATATATATATATATATATATATATATATATATATATATATAAATTTGTAAGGGTACCACCTCTGGTGCCAATGTGGGGACCCATAGCCTGGGAGAAGAAAATAAAGAGTATTCAGAGGAGACCTTGTGGTTTCTCACTGAACACTAATATTATCTTCTCCTACCACCCCCATTCTTTTGTATGTACACATATATATTTGCTTTATTTGAACCTTGTTACAAAAAAGGAGTTACATATAGGTTACAAAGATGGTTATCATAGGTTGTCGAGTTCCTCCAGCTCCTCAGATGGCGGGCAGGAACCCTGGATGCAGTGCGCATTTCCCCTCTGTATCGCCACGCTGAGGCGCTGGAAAAGAAAGCTGGCAGCTCTAGGGTCCCTTGTTGTTTCAATGAGCCTAGAACCCAGTTCCTTCAAAAAACTGGTAGCACTTTTACCCCAGGCGCCGAGTGTCTCAGAAGCAATGGGGACAAAATTGTAGTGGTGATCCAGTTCTCTATACTTACGGGATTTGGCTGCTTCCCTGTGGGTGGCAGCGCCACCTGGTTGTGCAGCACTGAGGTTAATGTAGGTGTTAGCCAGGGTTGATAAGCACGTGTAGTCCCATACCAACTGCTTGCCATTCTTCCAGGGGTTCACTGTGATACCATCCGGGCGACCAATAAGAGCATCAGAGTTACGGGGCGTTAGGTAACGTGGCTCTCTTTCAGCTGGGCATCCAGCTGTGGTGAGGCTCCTCTTGATGATGTCGTTAAACTTCACTGTGCCTCGAGTGCCATCCCCTTGTGCTTTGGCAGAGTAGGCCATGGTGGCCGTACCTGTCAGCCACCACCTCGGCGCAAATACACCTATATCTGGTGTGGATTGGGGCAGCAAGGCGGAGGGCCACAGCAATTCGGAGGGCGTGTGGTGTGAGACGCGTGCCAGTTGCCGACATTGGGGTTGCTAACAGGAAATCCCCTGCATGTGGGGCTGCTACTGCTGTGAGGCGAGCAATGTCATGTTGTGTTGTTGCAGCACCCAGGCACTCTGCAGCAACTTGGTCTACAATGGGGCCATCCCAGCTGGATTGCTTGTGGGCTTTTGGGGATGGTGGTTGAGGTGATTGGCCTGCACGAGAGGCCCACTCTGTGGCACAGCGTGTAAAATTGGGATCATGTACACCTGCCAGCTGATGTAAGTGGGCAGGTAGAATTTCCTTCACAAGGTCGTCGGATGCTGATAAGGAGGACAGGAAGGCTGGAACAGCGATTTGCGTTGCTGTTCGAACTCCGAGGCCCCCAAGTCTTACGGGAAGAGAGGCTTGTTTCCACTGTAGGTCATCAAGAGAGAGGTTAAGGGCTTTTTCTAGCATTGATTTCAGTAATCGGTCATACTCACTTAGTTTTTCGCTGCTGTAAGATGGTGAACACCTCAGAAAGTAGGTTAACCTGGGGAGGGACAGACATCTGGTGATGAGGTAGAGTGCATCATGAGCATCAATATCCTCAATCCTCCCATCCATCCTCTTAAGGTCGGCGATTTTCTTATCAAGGACCTCTTCGATGGCTTTCAACCCCAGGGGAGCTCCTAGGAGTGTGCTGTCTTCAGGTTTAGTTTTATTGATATTTGGCAGAAGACCCTCTATTCGCTCTACGATGCCCTGGTTGGAACATATTATTTCACATTTAGAAGGGTTCAGGGTGAGGCCTAAAACTGCACCTTGCTCCTGGATTTTTCTGATGTCCTCCAGGAGGGAGTCTTGGGAACCAGCTAGGGTACCATCATCCAAGAACCAGATGTTAAGCTCGCTGGACAGGACCTCTGTGACTTGTTTGATGACTAAGCAGAAAAGGAGAGGAGCAAGGGGGTCACCCTGTTGGACGCCTTCTCGCGAGTCAATTTCATGTTCGCCAAAAAGTAGCTTAAGGTCCATACTGTAGCATGAATGTACAAAAGGGTAGAGGGAAGGGAAATGACTATGAACCGCACGGAGTACAGCATTCCTCCGCACCAAATTGAAGGCATTTTTGAAATCTAGCTTGATAAGGGCCTTTTCGTCTGTGATGTTGGCGATGAAGGCTCGAGCTGCATGGGCTGCCGCCTCACACCCTTGTGGAATGCCGAACCCGAGCTGTTTTGGCTTCAGCATGTTGACCGCTGCATCACTAACTGTTCTTGCAGCTGCCTTTGCGACGAGATATATATACGATATATATATATATATATATCACTAAGAACTCTTTGACCCGGCCAGGATTCGAACCCATGCCGTCCAGGATCACCCCTAAACGTACACGGTACTGTGACCACCGCACCAACGATCGTCTATAAGGATTGGTCAGTCTTGGCGATTATTAACTAAGACTGACCAATCCTTATAGACGATCATTGGTGCGGTGGTCACGGTACTGTGTACGTTTAGGGGTGATCCTGGACGGCATGGGTTCGAATCCTGGCTGGGTCAAAGCGTTCATGCAGCTTTCTCATATATATATATATATATATATATATATATATATATATATATATATATATATATATATATATATATATATATATATATATATATATATATATGCACACACTTGCCTAAACACGCAAGTCAGAAAGTATAGAAACTTTTAGACACACAACATCCAAGTGTCTAAAAGTTTCTATACCTTCTGACTTGCGTGTTTAGGCAAGTGTGTGCATTAAGCATGGACCACGTGTTCT